TATTTTAATAAATTAAGATCATTTTTGAAGGATATAAATTAATATGTAATGGAATATAAAGATTTCATTATTTTAAAGTACAAAAGTTAAATGATTTACAAATTTCAAAAAAAAATTCTTTATAAACTACATTATTTGTATAATTTATGTGAGCATTCTCTTCATTATATATCTGAATTTTCAAGTCATTTCGATTTCTTACTTTTGAAACTGCAACATGCAGTTGCTCATAACTAAATACCGGTTTTCGTAACAATAATTCAACATGTTAACATTCTAAAATCCATATTCATTGAATAACGGATATTAGCATATAAACATCACCGATAGATTCAACACTTTGAAATAATTAGAGATTTCTATGTCGGCCCACTAAAAATGTGATAAGGTCCATATTTTATATGTGGACCTTACGATCATAGAAATACAACTTCTCACTCAAATGCAGAGTATGTTTTGATCCTTTTACAGTTTTTCACGATTAAAATTATTTTAAATTTAAATATACAATATCGAAGGAATCTTAAATTATTTTTTAAAAATTATTTTAAGTCCCAATTGACCAGGTCTCCGGACTCATCCATGTGTCTTGTACTTTATGTTGGGTCAAGTCCCATGCATGGGGTCATACGATGTCATCCGCTGCCCCGAACCCAAGAGATCCTCAGGACTCTAGAACTTAGCCACCATTATATTTCTTCTGCTAATATATAGGATCAACTTTGAGAACCAACTTTTCATTCATCCATTCACCATTTTTGACGTATAATATATCAAACTATTTATCGTATCAAGAAGAACACTCGTCCATCTATCAACGGTCAAAAACATTATTGGACCCACAAATAAAAGCATCCAAAGTTAGATCCTTTCATGTCTAGTAAATGTCAAAAATTCCAACAATATAAGAAACAATTATGTATGGAGTGTGTGTGTGTGTGTCTTCAACTTTTATTTAATGAATTTAGCCTAAGTTGATATATAGGCTATTTCATTTAATATGAAATGAAGAATTGATTGATGTATACCATATAATTAATTAATAATTAGCTTGAAATTAAAATGGGTGGGAAGCACACTTTTGACAAGATTTGTAGAAAATGCAGGCTTCAACTTAAGAAAGAGGTTTTGCCCAAAGGATGAAAGAAGGGGAAGCAAAATGTAGGATCCTATATGTTCACCACTTTGATGATAATACTAATAATGTCCATTCCTCCTCCCATTCCTAGATGTTTCTCAACGTAATTGGCTACACATTTGTGTGTGTATCTATTCTGTGCGTGCTATATTTTTTGCCCTATACTTTCACCCATTTGTTCAACACTACAACTAGAAATTTAGGGTGTTTGTTCACCGAAGATTTACTACTTCCGTCCCATTTTAAATTACATGTTTGATTTTTTCTCCGTCCCAAAATAAGTTGTCTGTTAGTTGATTTCGTAAACTTTTAAGAGTAAAATACCTAAGCTATCTCTAAAATAAGTCACTCTTCTCCACATTATCTTCTCATTCACCATCATCCCTCCTAAAAAGTACTAACAATTTTGGAAAATCAACTCTATTTTTTATTTTCCTTAAATATGCCCAAAAGTCAAAACAGGCGATTTAAAACGGGACGGAGGAAGTAATATATATTTTCTCACATTAGCAAATTAATAAATTAGAAATATAATATAACATTTTCTTTGATTTTGTCATTTATTCATTTTGTTATTATAGTATTACATTAATTGTCATTTAAATATAATTAGTTTGGATACTTTAATTCGTTATGTCATTAAGGCTATGTTCTTCTAACTTTTTTCAATTTTTTCCAACTCCTTCTAGTTTTTCCAACAATGACTTAAATGACTAAGAATAAGGTTTTATGGCCATTTTTCTGTCGGCATGGATGATTAGTGTGATTTAGTAGTAATAAGGACGTAATTTATTTTTTACGGAGTATTAATTAATTTGCGTGTTACATACTCTTTTTTTTGATAAACAAATAGTGAGGGCAGCAGTGTCACTTTTCCTTGGGTATTATTTTGGTCTAAATAAATTGTTGCATGGAAATGAGTAAAAGGCATATATATTCCCCCAGGCCGTTAAAGGGGAGATTGATTAGATCGCAGGGAATTAGATTCTTCCTCCACTTTCTTTACACACACACACACACTACAACACATGTGCCTCTCTCATGCAACATTATTTTGTGAGATCAGATTTATTTGATCCGGCCATGTATGTATGCATGATGTTTCTTGTATTATTGCTTCATCAAATTCATTTTCAACCACAAAAGAAAACCATCAAGTATCCAATGTCCATCACCAACACATACAAAATATGCAATATGTATATACTCCCTCTTTTTTGATTTTTTTTATCCCTACAAGTTTTATTCGTTCGATTTTAATTCAGAAAATGTGAAAAACGTGTTAAAAAATAAAAATTTGTTTACATGCATGCATGTTCATTACTAAAAATTCATAGAGAGTGATGGATTTTAGTTCACCAACTATAGATATACAAAGAACAAGAATGAAACAATAATAAACTCTCGAAATATGATCTTAATACATTGTCGTTTGGGAACAACATAACCGAACGTAGCAACAGGGCCGTCTCCGAGAAATCAGGGGCCCTGGATGTCACGGAAAAAATGGGCCATTGTGTCATAATAAAATAAAGTCTATCAATTAAAATTTTTTAACAATAAAAATATTATAGTAATAAGAATAATAAAATGTCAAATTCATAGTCTTATAAATTTATAATTCATAGTCTTAACCTGTTTTTTTATAAATATATATAATATATATAGAATATATACAAAAGAAGAAAAAAGTGGGCCCCCCTCCAAAATTGGGCCCTGTCCAGGTGGCCACCTTGCCCCTGGCTTGAGCCGGCCCTGCGTAGCAACGAGAAAGGAGAAGAGAAAAGAAGAAGGAAAAAAGGAAGAAGAAGAAGGAATTCGTCGTTCAATTCCTCGTTCGCGGTATTATCTCGGTAATTCGTAAATATTGTAATCGAGGTGAGTACGTGGACATCTAAGGTATAGTTATATCTGTAGGTTTAAATCTTATGTTCGTAGAATCGTTACGGTTGAGTTACGTGAAACCTTATATGATTATTATGATTTTTGTGTTCTTTGTGAATTGAAGAACATGAAAGGGAAAAGGTAAGGTTATAGGATTGTTAGATAATTTTTGGAATGTTAATGTGAATCTATTGATGTCTTTTATTATGAAATTGATGTGGTTTGATGTGGGAAAACGGAGCTGGTGCAGAGTCGGGATTCGTTGCAACAACCGATAGTAAGGCGGTACCGCTGGAACGGTACCATGCTACCACCACCACTCTGCACTTTCCATTCTCTCTGCCGGTACCTGTGATCGTACCGAACGATACCTAGCTATGTATCGGACGATGGTAGGCCCTATCGCCGAGTCAGGTCTACCGGATGAGTACAACAGTTACGTTGTTTCAAACGGTACCCCCGTACCGTGAGGCGGTACCCACATACCGTGGGGTCGGTACCGTCAAGGGTACTGTAGGTACCTGAGCAGAGACTGATGATCTGTGTTTTGTCAAGGATTGATTCCAAGACTTTTGTGTTGCATGACCGTAAACATATATGAGTGCTTATACCTAGTGTTAGGCCGTTGTTTGATTATTTTGGATATATAGGTAATGCTTTGATGATTTATGAACGTTGCATGATGAACTCTTAATGAATGTTAGACATGCCAACTAGAAGAACTAGGGATGATTTATGAATGTCGCGTGCTTTCTTATTTTTTTGTAAATTTAAATCATATTCATTTGGTGTGACTTTAATATACTTAAACTTATGTTTTTATAGTACTTTTTATCTCAGGTACGATTAAAATTATGATTTTATTTTTCAAATAATAAAACTAAAATTATGTTTTGTTACGCTTGTTGAGTAAGAATGTATAAAATTGTACACTAATTTTTTTAATTACATCACCTATTTTTTATGAAAAAATATGGAGTATTTTTAAAGCATCGAAATATTATGATAAGTTTTGACATTAGTATGACATTGAACCATTCTATTTTTAAACACATTACTAAATGAGTTTAGGCGTAAAACTCAAACTGTATCAAACCATTTAAAGAATAAGAGTGACGTTTAAATTTAAGGAAGGTATAACAAGAGCTTGGGTTAATTTAATCTTACTTAAGAAGGGGCCGAAAGTTGCATTGACTGTGACCCAGGCGGGACGCTTCGAGTTGGTATATGGTACATCCGGATGTACCTAGAAATAGGTACATCCCGGTAGTACTCATTCTGAAATAAAATATTTCCTCCGTTTTTTAAAAGTGTTCCTATTTTGACTTTGTGTAAAAATAAGGAAGTGTTAAATTGTAGTTGACTTCCCATTTTGCCCTTGATGTGATGGGTAAAAGTAAGATGTGATAGATTGAATATTAGAGAAAAAGTATGATGTGATAGGTAGGGTATGAAAAAGTAAGGGCAAAAATGGTTTTTTAATAGAAAGTGAAAGTGTTTTGTTGGAAGTAAAAAAAATAAAAGAGGAAGAGTTTTTGAGAACGGAGGGAGTAGTACTCATTTTCGTACAAATATAAACATTTATTTCGAAATACGTAGTACTCATTCTGGCAAAGGTAGTACTCATTTTAAAATAAAGAAGTACTCATTTTTACACATTTGTCTAACATAATTATAATAAATAGCGTAGTGTTCATTCTTAAAAAACAATATTCATTCTCAAATAAGGAAAAGTTCATTCTGATATAAAGTATTGTTCAATTTTTTCACAATTAAAAAGTTCAGTACCATCATCAACTTCTTCCTCTATTCGATTCGTTCCTACCCATTTATACTCTCTGAGCATGGAGAATTTGAAACCCAGGTTTATTCATCTTTGTATTGAATAAAAATATGATAATTCTCATAAGTGCTGGTACTCCTTCTCAAATCTGCTGGTACTCATTGTCATATACAGAGTATAATAGTTTTCATACATGTTTTCTGGACATTGGATAAAAAGTTTGCAAAATTTACAAAAAAAAAATAATAAAAAATACAGGTGTATACCATATAATTTGCCTGACGCTTCCTGAGATAGTGAGATTCCTTCCAAACAATGGCGGAGGAGGACGATCTTGGCTCGGACGCATCAGACTCGTCTCCGGACTCCGGATCTGATCAGGATTTCTTCAAAAGAGATCGTCATCTCTGCTACTTACAGATGATGCTTGGGGTATTGCCCACGTACTACCAGGTTGAGGATATCAACCGCATAACTCTTGCCTACTTCGCAGTCTCCGGTCTCGGTGTCCTAGGCGGCCTTCATCTTGTATTCTCCATTTTCCATTCAATTCCAATTATTATCCGTCAATCTCGTTGATTTTTTTTGAAATACTCCCTGCGTAATTGTTGCTCCCATTTCTCACTCACCCTTATCTGTAGTTAGTTTGATTTTTATAGAAATTGAAGTACAGTGCGCATTTTTACTAGAGCTGTTTTTTTCTTAATTCTTTGTTATATAAATCCTGATGGTAGTTGAATCATTGACAACAGTATTGTTATATTCTTTCTTATTTTGTTGCTGGCATCAGGTGGACAAAGAGATGGTGATTAACTGGGTTCTATCTTTACAAGCTCATGTCAAGGATGAGACTGAACTGGAAAGTGGTACTACTATGTCATTTTCAGTAGAGAATGCATTTTTCATTTATTGACTCCAGGCATTCGGTTGAAGTTGTGATTTACTCCATTTTTTCGTGTGATCTTTCGGTCTATTATAGGACAGTTTTATGGATTTCATGGCTCTAAAAGCTCTCAATTTGACTCTAGTAATAGCGAGGTATGAAAGCATATTAGTTTCTAGGCTTCGGATGCTTTAAATGAATGGAGATTGAGAGGCACATTATGGTATGCAGGGTCCTATCCTTAACGGTAGTCATTTGGCAAGCACATACTGTGCTCTTGCTATATTGAGGACTGTGGGATATGATTTATCTCTCATTGACTCCACACCAATCTTAAAATCAATGAGATCTCTTCAGCAGCCTGATGGAAGGTATTACACCTATGGCATTTTTAATACTGTATTTGTACGATAAGACCTGTTTTAATATTGTTATACTAAGGGTCCATTTGAGAGCTTGTATGACCAAAACTGAACCGAACAGAATATGATACCAAACTGAACCTATTGTAGTGTAATTTTGAACTAAGGTACTGAACTTAACTAAATAGTACTGAAATTAAATCCAACTGAGTGGCTCCTCGATCTCCCAAAATACATTATTCTTCATGATACCAGATAAAATCTTTTTCGGGATTCTTTCGTTATATGTGACTTTCAAAGGAGAATTAGCCTTCACATTTTAACATGACTCTGAAACAATTTATATGTACAAGTACTTCATTATTTCAATATTTCATTAAGCTTATCAAGCCTTTCAATTTTCAATCATGTTTCAGTTTTATGCCTATCCATATTGGGGCAGAGAGAGATCTAAGATTTGTATACTGTGCTGGTAAATAGATATTCCTTGTTGAGTAGGTGAGCTTAACTAACTTACGCTATTAAAGCAAAACTAAATGCAAAGTATTTCTATTCCACCAGCTGCCATCTGCTCCATATTGGAAAATTGGGATGGAATGGATAGGGAGAAAGCCAAAGAGTACATATCTTATTGCCAGGTATTCTATGTGTAAGCATATTTATATGTGTCCATCTTTGTTTTTCTTGATGATTTATAAGATGCATGACAATTTTTGCACACTCTCTCATCATGTCCCCTTTTACTTTTATTGTAGTCGTATGATGGTGGATTTGGTTTAGTTCCCGGTTCAGAATCTCATGGTGAGTGATACTTCCTCTGTTCAATGTTAAATTCTGTCCCCAAGCCTATTTTCATTGATGTAAAATAGATGATTTAGTTCTACCAAAAGGTGAAACACTACAAAACAGTATAATGTCAACTTCGTTGGTGTTTGTGGGTCAGGATGTATGCTGTCTTACACAGTTACCCATGTAAAAAACAGTGTTTTTTTCGGTTAGACCCTTGAATCCTTGATACATTGTTGTATATACTACCCAAAACTACATACCCAGGTAAAATGTAAGAAGCAAAGTGAGTTAATGTGCATTTTTTATTTAGTGACTTTAGCCGTATATCTATATGAAACTAAAGTATTGTTATTGTTAATAATGCCTCTTCTAGCTCCATTGGCAATGGACGCAAAACATGAAACCCTATCAGCTAGAATAGATAATACTCCGTTGGTTTTTTGGGATATGCAATTGCAGATGGTGGGTTTGTGTCTCTAGAGCTACTTATCTTTTTTAGTCTTCTTTATTTATTTTTATGTAATACAGTCATTTTTCCCTTTAATTAATGGAAGATAAAAATTAAGTGTAGTGGAGCACATTTATATTTTGGCGAAGCTTACCACTCTAATGGTAAAACAAAAAGAAAAGAGAATTATAAAGTGAGTACATATTTTGTTATGCATGAGGTTGTCACTAATGCAAGTGTAGGCTGCTTAATAGTTGTTGACATAGAATTCCGTGACCGTGTTATTTGAGATACATCATCTCTTTTATATCAGATTGTGTGAAGCTGCTCATGCCTCACGGATGGTAATTATTTAGTATCACAGGTGGGGCCACTTTTTGTGCTATTGCGTCTCTCCGGCTAATGGGATTTATTGAAGATGATTTATTCACAAAGAATGCAACACCAAACTTTATCGATGTCCCCTTACTTCTTGAGTGGACCTTACTGGTATATATATTTCCTATCATATTTTTTCTATCAGTTACCATGAGTTCTAGTAGATCCGGTTTAGCCTAGAATTGCGTTTCGATTGCAGAGGCAGGGAAGAGATGGAGGATTCCATGGAAGACTGAACAAACCCAGTGATACATGCTATGCTTTTTGGTTTGTCCACTTGTGAATTTTCTTTAACAGACTAACATTATTGTATCTCTCGTGGCCTAACTAATGTTGATTGGTTTTAATAGGGTTGGAGGGGTCCTGAAGATCTTAGGAGCACAAAAGCTAATTCACAAGAAGAGTTTACGCAAGTTCCTTTTAACCTGTCAAACAGAGGTATACTGCCACTTCTCAAAGTTCTCATATTTCTCCAACCATTATTGTTACTCTCTCCTCTCAATTATCTTCACACTTTCATTTTTTTTCGATCTCAAAATTATAAATGAAATCCGGGGATTTGAATAAAAAACAAGACTCGTAGAATTTCCTTTTAAGAAAAGTACTACCCCATAAGGGATTCACATTATTCTTCTATTGTAACTAAATTTCAACCACACAATTTTCATTTTATTGAAATCTGTCATGTGAAATTGGGCAATAATAAATTGGTGTAGTTGTCAAATTATAACAATGTAAAGATCACCTAAAAATCACAACTATTTAGGAACTGTGGGAGTACTTAACAAACATTAAACAGAGGATTAGAGATATTCCAGTCATATGGAGTACTATACTTCATTTATATCAACTTTAGAAAAATTTATTGCCTTCATAATATGCGTATGAAGATGGTTACAAGCAAATGCAGGGATGTGTAGCTAAATTCTAGCCATGAATCTTTGTAGTACCTGAAATCAGTCAAATAGTTTGAAGACAAATCTGGTATGCTGATTTTTTTTTAATACTGGTGCTGATCTGATTTGCGGTGCAACAGTACGGTGGGTTCGGTAAAACTCCAGAAATGCTACCAGACCTTTACCATTCCTTCTATGGATTATGTGCCTTTAGTTTGCTAGAAGAGACCGGGCTTCCTTCAATCTGCGTTGAACTGGGAATAACTAACCGATAGCGCACATTGTTTCCTGATTTTGGTCCAACCAATCCTCTGTTTCTTCTACTAAGCGTTCTTCCTCTCCAGCCAGAAGATGAGATCATGTTGCTTCATCGGCCTAGCGAATAGGAGTTGACAGAGATGCCAACTGATTGAACTCTTCTACGGGCTCCTTTATTTCTCTTATCAAACGTGCCGTACTACACAACCCGTTTATTCGGCTATCAGATCTTCAAGTGTTGTTGTTGACAAGTCCTACTATCAACTTGCATTGTGTGTTAAAGTGTAGTGTCCTTTAATTTTGATATACGCTATAACACTCTGTTTGGTTTTAGCTTCAACGTTAAGCTTTAACCTTGTGAAAATTTTATCCAACTGTGGCTTTTAGCTTTAATATTTTCAAAGTTAATCTGTGACGTTAAACAATTATTCAAAAGTCTAATGTTAGTTACGTTTAATTGTTGAAATTTAAACATGACAATATATTTTAATTTGATCTAAGTATTGCTGCTTATTAAAATGTTGAAATATTGATTGATAAATTTTGGGATGCCAAAGCCCAAATGTGAAGTTATATACGGAGTAGTTAAAAGTAAACACACTTTCCATCCCATAAAAGAAAGTTTCCCCGAGTATATAATTTAAGTTGTTTGACTTTATTATTATTACAAATAAGCAGTGAAACATAAGTAACAAACAAAATATGATTTGATATTGTGAATATTACGAAATAAAAAGATTTTATGTGACGTGAGAGTATATATTCTTTTTATTGTTGGAATTTCTTGTTCATATGCTTCTTTGGTGTATCTAAGGTTCATGAAATTTTGTGGACATTCTCACATAAAAATATGTAGTATTTATTATTTTTTTTGAAAAAATAAATATAAAAACATCTATCTCAACTGTAAGCAAATTTTATTTTTGTTCAAATTAGGTTTACGATAAAATTTGACAAACCCTAACCTTGAAATACATGTTCAAATTAGTTTTAAAATAACATGTTTTTAGAAAATATATAAATATATAAATTAAGATTGTAATTGACAAATTAAAGTGCTATATTGAAGGCTAAAAGGTCAAATAAAAGATCAATTGAATAATTTATACTCTGTATGTGTAGTGAATTTCATTTCGACTTCATTTAAATCTCTGCAAACAAGAGTCGGCCCGTCCAGCTCTCCCAACTCACCCTGATAAATAGCTGATATGAGCAACAATAATTATCCATATGGGCGAGCGGGCTTGCCTAAATAGACGAATTCGAGTATAATTTTTAGCCCATATAATTCGCACAGGCCCTTCTCATAAAAATGAGCAATTATTTAATGTTAAATTCTTCCAAATCTAACCCCATTCTGTGTTTGCACAAATCTAATTTCATTGGAACAACGAGCGCAAATGAAAAAAAATGTTGATGTTGTTGTATACACTCATGCTTGGCTAATTTTGTCTAAGTAATGAATGTTAGTTATTTCATGAGTTTGTCTTGTATTCGATACATTTTTGTTTCTCAAAATTTCTAAATAATGCTAACAATTGTGAACCGACATTATTTTTATAAAGTCCTCGTGTTCTTCGAGTTATTATACATTTATTGAAGAAAAAAAGAGATTCATATGGAAATGCTAATGACAATCTTCCCCCTTTAATTGGGTACTTAGAAATCACCAACGTAATTGCTCCCTTTCTTTTCTTTAACGACAACTCTTAGAGAGTCATTTCTTTTCTTGATTAAACTGCTCCCCTTTTTTCTTAACTTCCGTTTTTTTATATTAAAAAAAATCTTAGAGTCATTAGCAAAATTGATATTGAAATCTATTAAAACATGGAAAACTTATCCAAAATACTTTTAACTTTACATTTCTTTAAAAAAAATCTCACCTTTCAATGTGATGGATAATAATCTCAACTTTATTGAAATTTGCAAGTTTTGGATCGTCGTTAAGTTGCTAACGGCGGGTTAACGGAAACGGCTGGTTTTGCGCAACAAAATAAAAGTTTAGATCATTTTTTATGAACTTTCATTTTTTAATTTTTTTTAAATTTTCATTTAAATTTTTAAAATTATTTTCTACCTCTATCATTTCATTTTCTTTTTTAAACAATTATTCTTACTTTAAAAAAATAAAAATAATAGATATAAAAATAACGAAAATGAGAAAAGTAACCAAAACGATACAAAATTAATAAAATAAATAAGATACAATACAAACTAACTTGAAATTGGTAAGAAATAAAATAAAAATATAGGAAGTGGTGGATATTAATATTTTACGCACTATACAAAGTATTGATGTATCACTTCTTATCTTTTAAAAATAATTATCTAGAATAATATGAACTTTATCGAATAGCCTGTTCTTTTAAAAAAAAATAAGTAGTATATTACGACTCTATATAATGCGTAAAATTTTAAAACCCTCTAGTTTGTATATATTTATTTTAATTCTTACCATTTTCAATTTAATTTTTTTAATTACATTATTTATTTCATTAATTTTGTATGATTTTATCAGTTTTTCTCATTTTCATTATTTTTTGTATCTACTTTATTATTTTTGTCTTTGGTGAGAATAATATTTAAAAAAAGAAATTATAAAGTAATTCTAAAATTTTAAATGAAAATTTCAAAAAATTAAAAAAACAAAAAATCATAAAAAATAATCTCAACTTCCATCTTGTTGCGTAAAACAAGCATTCCCGTTAATCCAAGGTTAGAAACTTAACGACCACCCAAAACTCACAAATTTCAGTAAATTTGGAATCATTATGCATCACAATGAATGGTATAGTTGTTTTTGAATGACCATATAAAATTGAGATTATTTTGGAAAATTTTTTCTTAAAACATAATGTTTACCATAGTTTGAGTCCAAATGGATGCAAAGATATTCACACATTGTGAATTAAGAATATTATGAATTTGCATAAAGTTGTAATTGAATAAATAACCTAAAAGACATAATACTAAATGCGGCAAATAATACTTGGAGTATTTAAATTATCCATAAAGTTAGATAAATATATTCTTTAAAACATATTATTTCATTGTGAGTCATTAGATTGAAAAAAAATATAAAATGTACTATTTTGTAATCAAATCAATTACATTACAAAATTATAATAATAAATGTTGGAAATAATTGCTTGGAGTATTTTATATTTTCGAAAGAGTCAGATATTCATATTCTTTAAAACATATTGTTAAATGTTGCACAAAATTATTGCAAGTCTTTTGTTGGGTATTTGAAATTAAAAAAAGTTTGAAGAATCCAACAAAAAATAGGGGCATTCCGAGAATTGAACTCGGGACCTCTCGCACCCTAAGCGAGAATCATACCACTAGACCAAATGCCCTGTGGCGATACTGGTTATAAAATGATAAACTATATTTCCAATTAAGCATCTGAAATGGCCGGGCGAGAATTTATACCCTTTTGGTCTCGAAAAGAATTAGTCTGTACTTTTTAGTTTATACGGAGTAGTGTTTAATTAAAATAGTTTTTCAATTAGTTAAAATTGTAGTGTGATTGTGTGAAGTTAAAAAATAAAATTTATCCTATATATTTAAAAACTGATTCAAATATGTAATGTAAAAACTTATAAAAGTAAATAAGCCAAATAAAGAATGAAAACATTATGTGAATAGTAAAAGTAGCTAGATATGTTTTAAAATACGGAGTAGTCCTTAATGTTCATATAGGAATTTATGAAGGGTTAAGGACCAAAATAGGAGTAAAACATTGATTAAATTCCAAAATAGGAGTTGAAAGATAAAATCCCCAAAATAAAAGTTGAAAGATAAGATCTCCAAAATCTGAGTTAATGGCCCTAAGCGCACATCATTTTCACGTCTGTAATTTTTTGTTCAATGTATTATGATAATGAACACAATAGTAAATGAGATATGAGTGATTAGCGTCTACTAAATAGCACACTATATTTTAAATACTTTGTACTACCTCCGTCCCATTTTAAATTGCATGTTTGTCTTTTTTCTCCGTCCCAAAATAAGTTGCTTGTTAGTTGTTTTCGTAAACTTTTAAGAGTAAAATAACTAAACTACCTCTATAATAAGTCACTCTTCTCCACCTTATCTTCTCAATCATCGTTATCCCTCCTAAAAAGTATTGACAATTTCGAAAAATCAACTCTATTTTTTCTTTTCCTTAAATATGTCCAAAAGTCAAAACAGACGATTTAAAATGGGACGGAGGAAGTATATTTTAATTTTGGTTCAGTTCAGATCTCATTTACTACCGGGGTGTCAAAACATTATTATACAAATTGTGTTCAGGCCAAGAATTGTTCATCCCAACAAATTAAAATCATGCAAGGTTAGTGTTGCAAATCAAATAAAAATATATCTATTTCAGTATACGTTATTTCCTGTGGTATATGTATATGTGTAATATGTATGGAGTAATTATATATACTATGTATTAGATTGATATGATTTCCATATTATTGTTCATTGCCCAAATGCATGTCTAATTTTTATTAATGAGTGAATAATGAATATGCATACCGCAGTGCTAACACACAATATGTTCCTAAAATATTTCTTAATTAAATAATCAAAGGGCTTCTTTTTTTTAATGTTCAAATTAGACAAAATGTGAAAGAAAACAGCATGGTGGGGTGGCTGTGAGGAGAGGAAGCAGAGAGAGATGAGACTAGTTGGAGTCACCGGATCCCCATGATAATATTTATTTTTGAAATTTTGCACCACCGACGACATCACCGCTCTATACCATTATCAACAACACTATCATCACAATATGCACCATCATCGTCACAGTGCCACATTAACAATCAATGCAGTGTCAAAGAAAAACATAATAATGTCAAACATGCATTGCACCATTTAATGTCACATATGACAATATATAATACCATAGATGCCCATATATAATGCCACATATGCTAATATATAATGTCAAATGTTACACAATGATATAATGCCAAACCAAATTCTATTACTTTGGTGTGCCAGTCAAAGATTTAGTAATAGCTATTCACTGCATAGTTGCATTGAGCTTTGAGGGTGTTAGGGTTATAATAGACGTTGTTTTGGTTGATGGTTCTGCAATTTGCTCCGTTCCCACAAGCATAATCTATGTTCTTCTGTAGCTGGGATCACTCACCCCATCATTGCACACACAGTAATTAGCTCCTGCACAAAAAGGGCCAAACTGTACATCGTGTTGATTATATCACATATGGCGATGGTGACCTAATGACGAAAAGAAAATGAATGACCCGTGAATACTTCTATTAGTTAAGTAATAAAAATAGTTAATTACTCCTACTTAGAAGAGTTTAAGTTTGAACTTCTACTTTGAAGATATACCACATGCTTTACTCCTATTTAGGGGGTTTACTTATTTATGAATCTTTTTACTCCGTATAATATCT